GCAGCAGGGATGAGGCTGATGTAAGGGGAACACAGCAGCCAGGGACAGGCTCCTGCAGCCTCCACTGCCAGGGAAATGCAGACTGGGAGGGATAAAGCCACCAAGGAGAGCCCCCCCTCAGCCCAGGACATCACTCCTAGATCCAGGGAATGAGGTCCCTTTGCTTGCCATGGCTCTGGAGCAGGAGGTGACACCCGTGTCCCCCTCCCCAGGGTTCAGCATGGTCCCCAGGGCACTGGGACAAAACTGGTGAGCAGCAGAAGCCTTGCCAGGACTGGTGTGACACCCACAGCTCTGCCACATTCCTGGCTCCCAAAGGGCAGAGCTTTTAAAACCACGGATGGGATGGATGCACACCCACATCCCATCCCATACACAAAGGGAAACACCAAATATTTATAGGGAATTCCTTCAAATGCAGCAAATCCCACCCCTGCCTGTGCCCAGCTCATGTCTGCCGTGCTCAGCAGTTACCCTTTAATGCCACATTTAATTCCCATTAGTGCTGGATTCCAGCTGCTGGAGAGCCAGCTGGCTTCTCCTGAGTTTTTCCTATTTTTCTTTGCTTCAACTCTCTCCATTTCAGACGATGGTGGCTCTTACCTCCTCTGCAGCTTCTCCCAAACCCAGAAGGCTGTTTCTGTTGAAAAAAAAAGAAGAAAAGGTACATCTCTTCATCTGTACCCTCATTATAGGCTCAAAGAACAAGAAAATCATTGCAAGTTGTCTTTGCTCTGGCAAACACAGCAATTGACCCCAAAATGGTGTCAGGCCCCTCCTGCAGTGCTGGCACAGCCCTACAAGTGACCAGTGTAATTGAAATAATAATAGGAATAATAATTATTATTTATTATTTATAGTTGCTACTATTATAACTGTAGTTATATATTATTATAATGATTTATCAATCTCTAAATTAATATCAATAATTTATCCATTAATAAAAGTTAGAGCACAACATTTTTTTATTTCTCCATCCCTTCTCTTTTTCTTTGTCCTTCTGTAGATGAGGGGGACATCTCCTGGCTGTTCACCCACATTCCCAGATCTTTACTTACCTCAAACCCTTGAAATCCCCATTTTATACGGATGCAGACTGTCCCAGCCTCCTGCCAGGATCACTGCATCCAGGTGCAAGCACTTGCCTGGCAGCTGGTCCAGCTTCTCCTGCATTCCCCCATCACCCCTGAGCCCCCCAAATTCATGTGGCAGTCAGGGTGTCCTGCACCCCAACGCCAACACCAGCCCAGGCTCTCCATCTGCCAAGCAACAAAACCACGTGGAGTTCATCTGTACTTTAAAATAAGCTTTATTTAGATCTTTTATAATTTTATATTTGCATCCATGCCTTCAAGGATTCTCCCCCGCTCACGGGGGGAAAAGTTAAATCTAATGTTACCCATAATTCATATGCTATTTAGCGAAGTTCTCTTTTAAATAAATCATCCTCTTAGTAATTTTTAGAAT